TCAGAATATATTTCCAATGAAAAGTGTGTATTAAGTGTGTAATTAAGTGTGTGTTCGATCTTAATTGTGTGACCAATTATGAACTATACCACTTCATTTTATTTGTCATACTTTTAAATTGATAAAATATAAATAGTCGTATTCATTAAAAATGATTATCAATTATCTATAGTATAAATTATAAATAATAAAAAAAAAAGTGTTATAATTAATTATAATAATAGTGACTAATGTAGATCATGTATTATCGTATTAATCGCAAATACAAATTATGTTTGAACAGTGGCTATTCAATGACATAATATATTTTGTGTAATCTTATTATTTATAATTAATAAAAACAATTAAAATTAATAAAATAATATAAATGTCATAGAGTGTAAATTATAACAGAACTATTCTCGTTGGATAAATATAGTTAGATTTTTAAGCGGAAATTTTTTTAACTTAACCAAATAATACATATAGTATTATCGTTCTTTTTCGTTTCCTGGACAAAAGATAAAGGGCATTATTATCAGTTGGTTATGAATCATATTATACGTTATAAATAACAATCCAGCTGTTATCATACTCTGTTTTTTAAATCGTAAAATTATTTATTTGACATTCTGGTATGGGAAGCTCAAACGGTATGAATAAATATTTATGAATTTGAATATTGACGCATAGCAATACAAGATTTTAATACAGTAATCGATTGGCACTGATGACAGATCACGGACGTCATTTTTTCAATTTTACATTATCTTATAAAACGAAAGTTTTTTTGATGTATTCGACCAGAATTGAAAAAAACTGTTTTAATCGTTTAAAACCTGTTTTATGAACTTAAAAAAGTATAGTTAAATATAGTAATATAGTAGATAGTAGCTACATGTTTACGTATAACTGTTAACTATTAACTGTTATAATCACATTTATAAATAATAATATTATTTTCATATAATCTGTGCTATAATATACAAACAGTATAAATGTACAACAGAAGTATGTCTGAAAAGTTGTAAATAAAAATAGTAATTTATAAATGTTTAAGTTTTCGTGGCTGGTGCGAGTATACGTTGAGGTTATCTATTGTATACTTGATCTTGATTATTAGCCATTATTCATTAGGTACCTTTAGTTTAATATTATAATAATTAATAGAAACATTCGTTTTCTAATAAATATTAATAATATACATAACATTAATTAATATTAAATGTAATCTTCCTCATAGGCGGGCATTTAGTTGAATTTTTGGGGGTTAGAATAATTTAAAATAGAGTGACCCGCAGGGGCTTCGTCCTCGCACCCCTATTTCATCTACAACTGTAAAACAATGCTAAAAAGCATATGAATGTATTATAATAAATAACACTAATTTAAAAATTATTTTTATTGTAAGAGAATATATCTATTTCTATTTGCAAATATGTTTAAAATATCATTATTGATATTTTTTAAAATTAATTTTTCTTTATATAATATAAATATATCAGAAAACCTTTCTTACAGCATTAGATATTCTTAGCCACATTTTTTAATCTTTCTCATGACCTGAAAAATTGTCTCACAAGTTGCTAAGCTGATTGGTATACTTAAGTACTCTGCATGGTCCGATCTAGTACGGTCTTAACATAAAAAAACCATTGAATCGTTGGTTTGGTCCGGTTCAATAATTTATTGGAATAGTTCGGTTATGTTAATGATCAAATGCATTATTTTCAGTTCGGTCCCAATTATGGTACTTAAAATCTAAATACAGATATAGTTATGTACACAAATAAAACAAAAAAAAACCTTCAACTTTATGTAAATATTTATTTATAAAGTCGGGTAGTCCGGTCCAGTGTAATACTAAACGCATCATATGGTACGGTCTGGGGTGATACAGACTGAACTTTATGGACCGGTCCATAAACGGTCCAAAATGTTTTAAGATCGAACCGAAAATCCGGTTTAAGGTCTATTTTAGTATATGTTATTTATTTACTGGTCCAGTCCGGTCTAAAAATAATATGAAGCCGTCGGTTGGTCCAATTTTGGTCTTTGATTAATGTTTAAATGTGGTCCGGTCCGACTTCGGACCCCTTGGTAAAATTTGAAGTCCGGTCTGGTCCTTAAAATAACAGACCGTGCAGAGCACTAGTATACTTAATGATAATGAAAATAATTGATATCAATTAGGAAATATTTTTTTTGTTCTCAATCAATATTATATTTTTTAATAATTTTTAAATGTATACCTCCATCTGATACATCTTTTAGAATAATATTCTTGGTCACTGTTATTTTAAAATTTTCCCTTTCTTTAGATACACCCATCAGAATCTAAATTTAAAATAACATTTGAATAATTATGTTGTCATAATTTAATAAAATATAATATAATTTTGGAAATTAACATGATAATGGCTAATAAAATGAAAACTATTATTGTAGTTAAGGTTGAAAAATGAATCTATGGATAAAGCCATCATTACTTTTAGGTGAAAACCGTTTTTTTAAATTTGTTATAATTTGATCCAAAATTCTATAAATAACATTTGTCCAAGAATTTTTTTTTTTAATTTTTAAACATTTTGTATTGGTTTATTTTAACGCTTTTTGTTTTTAAATTAAAGATGGTAATCAATTTTTGCTATATTCAAAAATCAAAATATTTAACATCTTGAACGTCTAAACCGAACGGCACATTTAATATGGCGATTGAATATTATGTACAATATACAATATTCGAACAAAATAGCGGAAAACGTAAGTCAAATGTTGAACTAAACAACACACATAAATAAAAAGTTTACAAATAAATATGATCACCAAGATTCATATTTGAAGACCAAAGCCTTTCTTTTAATAATCATAATAGAAAAATAATTGTTTTACAAAAATATGTTTCATTTAATTACTAAGACGATGTAAATTTTTTTTGCCTTTTTGCTTTTTTTTTAGCCTTTTTTTGCTTATAAATGTGTTTTTTGTGTTGTTGATTTAATACATTTTCAGTTGATTTAATAATTGTATACACAGCTTACGTATTATCAATACAAATTGATAATAACTTGTGAAGACGGTGTATTGTCGATGTTATGTTCAAATTTATTTTTAATGAGTTTTACTCTTCATAATATTTATCGATTTCGCTGAATACTCTATCAGTTACCGAACTGTTAGATTGAACCAGTTAATGAAAAAAATTTCATAATGTTAAAATGTAGTGTCTATTTTATGAAATGAACAATTTCTCTAAATGGATGCAACAAATATATTAATAAAAATCACATGTATTAACTTTAAATTATAAAAATTCAATAATTAATCGTTTTATGCTTAATTAGGTTAAAAACTATTAAAATCTAATTTAATCATTATAAGCTGCTCGTCGCTTATACAATCGAATTTGCGTAATGGGAATAAATAGGCAGAGTCCCGAAGGAATGTATTCGTTTTAGGCAATTTAACATTAATGGGAACAAACCATTGGTTATAAGGGAAATAATCTACACATATTTACCTACTTTCTTATCGAAACTGTAATTGTCTAATATCTGTCTCTATCAGATTTTATATGACCAACTTATGTTTAAATAATAATTACCTACCTACGTATTTTACTTTTGCTACCTAATCATTTTTTATCTCCTACAACCATATATTCCGTGAAGATAATTGAGTAGACTAGCCCGAATGGGTACAAAATTTATCAATAAGCAAAGTTTTAATAAATTTCAACAAAGAATGGACGATTTTCTGCAACCCAATAAAGAATTACATATGTATTTTTTTTTTGCAAAAAATATTTCGTTTATCAATCAATTTATAATAAATATGTAGGTATATATAATATATCTTAATATATAATATAATTTAGGATATCAAAATATGTATTATAAATAATAATTTTTAAACTAAGTATAAATTAAGTATTTAGGTTTCTTATAATAAAGTTATAATAATACATTTTAATTTTTTTTTTTTAAATCGGTTTATTGGAACAGTTGGATAATTGATCAGCTAGATCACCTGTATCACCTGTCCTCTTTAAAAATATTCAACTACATACATATTTAATAAATATTATTTATATTTCCTATTTATATTACCTAAGTGACATCCAACAATAAGGGTAAAGGGTATACACATTTGCTCAAGACGAATTACGAACATTATGTTGACATACAATCTCTTGACATTTTATCAGGTTAAATTATAATAATATTTCTTATCGTATCAAAAGGTCTTTAGTATCTATGAAAAAAATGATTTGTAGTACTGGATAGCCTGTTTATTTGTGTTACTTGTAATTATTTTCTTCATTTTTTGATAATGCAAATAGTATTGGCCAGTGGCATATTTTTAATTTTTTTCTGGGGGGGGTCCATTAATTTAGATAAGTGCTGATATAAATATAATAGTAATAATAATATATAGTATTAAGTATAATAATGCTTAATAGATTAAATTAACAAAAAATTGTTGTTTCATCATATTTTGTAATTTTAAAGTACAAAAGCCAAGCGTCTTTTTTTTTTACAAAGTTCTTCTAAAATGTCTTTTGGTAAGAGAGAATATTTTCTATAAATGGACATCATATCCAATCCATTAAGTATATTCTAGAAAAAAAAAAATTGAAAATTGTTTTCGGTTTTTTTTTTAGTTTTAATTTTTTTTTTTTTTGTATGTTCTGGGGGGTCCAGTACCCCTGACCCCCCTCCGTAAATACGCCACTGGTATAGGCCCTAAGTTGTATAAATAAAATAAAATGTAATTTATTTAATTTATTTGTTTTTTTTTAATTTACCTAGTGTTTACAAAATACTATAAGCTTTTTTATTGTTTGTTTGTTTCTTCTAACTTTCTTGGAAGTTTTATCACAACCAAATTGATAGCAAATATAATTTCTACAGATATTTCCTATTCAATTTCAGATTTGAGAATGAAACTATATTTTTACTTAACATGATTAATATTTATACTAAACATTAAGATTGGTTAAGATAAAAATCAAATAAGCATTTCAGTTGGAAATTTTATCAATTAAAAACTTATAACTAATCAATAACAAAAGTAACTTATGGCAATCAAAATGAAGTTGACTTCTTAAAAATAAAATGCTAGGTACAATTTTTATCACATTTAAATTACATTTCAAACAAAAATGATTAATATTAAATAACATAACATAATATAAATAAATAATTTTTCAGGGATAAAAACAAATATTACAATCAGGTCATTGATACTTTTGAAATTAAGTTAAGTATTTACAGTTTAAACTATGGCTCAGATGAATTAATTTTCTGCATTATTGAGTTCAGCAGAATTATATATTGATAATTCATCTCTAACATTTTTCATTGATTGAAGTATAGAACGTAATGATTCATTGTAAGTTTGATACTTTTCATATGCTTCTAATAATATTTTTATTTGTTCATCACGTTTTTCGATTTCTGATTCACAGTTTCTCATAAGCCCACACATTTTTTCCATACAACTATTAATTTTTGATCTGAAAACAGTAAATTAAAATTATTATAATATTACTATGATCTATTAAGCATAAAATTATCTATTGTAGTAATGTTGTAACTGATATGAGTTTTTTTATATACCTATATTTAATAATTTTTAAATATTATAATATATGTATTTGTAATAAAATGTATCTTTTTGTGTATATAAAAAAAAAAAAATATTTCAATCGGATTTCTGTTTTTCAATAATAGTTAAAACATAAGTTATTATATTTATAGAACTTTAAAATTAACACTGAAATTTAGCTTAATGAAAATTTATAATAAATATTGCATAAAATTAAAGTTTATGCACTCTATTTATAAATAAACTATATTTTCATAATGTATAATCTGAAAATCATATCAGATAATAACAAGGGTAAATAATACTTAACAATAACTACATAGTAGTAATAAATTATATGAAACATAATAATAATATTAATAACTCAAAACACTAACATTTTTTAATAAATAAATAAATTAATTAGACACATATTTATAACGTTGATGACTTCTTTGCATTTGTTTTTCATATTTGTCATATTTTAATGTAGACAGTGTTTATACTCATATATTCATTATAATTGTTCTTGCCTTGTACTAACACACCCGATAATTTTTCATAGATAAATCCTATAACTCTATTTGTTCATTAGAAGTCTTAATAATTATATTCCATACTATTTCATATGAAAAACTATGAAAAAAATGTGTATTTTATAATTATATTTAAATCATAATAAACTAAAATTTAGAAACATAAAATAAGTTTTCTACATTAATTTCCTAATTTTCAGAGATAAGAAAATGCCATTTTTTCTTTGATTATAGTATGAAATGAATGAAATTGTATATTATTATTTTCTTATTATAGTAATCAGATGTTGCTATGATTTTTTGCCCCTGACAAAAAAACATATCAATAAACATTGCATTCTGGTTATGCATTTTTATGAATTTTGTAATTATAGTGTATTATTAACTAATGGTAAAACAAATTTATGAGCTTAAACTAAAATTGTGAATTAGAAAATAAATATTAGCTCATTTTTAATAAAGAAATATTTGACAAAAATTACTTTAAATAAAATATAAATGCATTTTTGTAAGATACCATTATATTTTGAGTTGTTTTATAACACTTTTTATTTATAATAGAAATTACTGAGATCAAAAATCAAAAAATTATCGCTATAGAGTATCTTATATTTCAATTAAATTTAAATTTATTCAGTGTAAAATTGTTGACGTAGTTTATTCACTATATAATTCTTATAATAAAAAAATCAAAAAAATCTATTAATGCATACAAATATAATATATTCGTATGCATTATATTTATTGTATTTATTTATTTATTGTATTATATTTATATCTTATTTATAATCTAAAAGTTAGAGGTAAAATTCCTTAATTTTTCAATTGATTATTGATTAATTAACTACTTATATAAAACAAATAATAATGCCATTTTTCTCAGCTGTATAATATAAAGTAGTAAAGATTTCATGACATTTTTCATAATATTAAAAAAAAAGTTTATGGGTTTTAAGTTAAATTATAATATAAAATTTATAAATATATTTTTTATAATATAATTAATTCTACTTCATACTTATTATCATCTAATGGGTTAGTGTGAGCAGTCTTAGAATGATTATCTACAATTTTAGTTATTGGAACTGTTGGTCTTATTACACCATTGTTGATATTTCGATGTGTTATATTGTTTTGTAATTTTGCCTGAAAAATATTTATAAAACAGTAATGAAAACTTTAAAATATTTTAAATTTGTTCTTTATTTAACTTACATTTTTAATGGTGTCACATTCTGTAGATGAATCATCACTTTCGGATGAACTAAATGTTATATGCAATATCATAGTTTCATCAAATTTTTCTGAATCCAAATTTGAAAGTTGTATACTGCCATTTCTTACAATTTTTTTTACATCACCTTTATTTACAGTAGCTGGGTTACTTTGAGATTCAGCCTTAGGTTCAAGTATGGGTTTATGTTTTAGTTCAAAATTATTAACTCCAGGATTTTTTTTATTTATATGTTCTACTGAGTTGTTAATTTTACTTTCATTTGATATTAACATTTTTTTTCTTCCTAATGGACATTCTGGTAAGCTTCTTTTTTTATCATTTATTAATTGGGTTTTTACAAGCTTATCATCTTTCAAGGATAATCGATTATTTTGAGTATTGTTTCTATGAGTTATAGACTTAAGGGCTGCTGCTCTTAGTAATCGTATATCTTGATCGTCAGTTTCATTTGTATTCACTTTATTTTTCATTGACCGTCTTACCATAGATTGTAAAGCTAAAAATCTTAGTTCTTCAGCTTCATCATTTTCATCATTATTTTCATCATTAGTAGCCATATTACTTAGTAAGACTTAAACTGTTACTTTTTTTATATACTAAGGATTTTTTTTATTCAAAATTTTTTATATCATACTATAAATTCTGATTTTCAAAAATTTAAAAGGTACTTTTATCTGAAACATAAAATTATTAACCATTTTATTTATTGTATACATAAAAGTTTAAAAGTGGGTTATATTTTATCATTTTTGTGAACATATTATTAACTAAGTCTTAATATATTCAATGTAATGATAAAATTTAAAAATTTAAATTTAAATTTTTATTTTTATTAATTAGAGCAAGTAATATATAATACATTGTTACTATATGGAATAATAGTTTATCTAATTTCAAAGGAACTGTGAGAGTAATATTATATGTTTTGAAAATAGGTTATTAAGATATTTAAGATACCAAAAAGTGCTACAGTGATTGGTGTACTGGAATATATGGTCAATTAGACATAAGTTTCTTAATGGGTTTCTTTAGGAAAAAAAATATAAATAAATTAGTTGATACAATTTTTTTTACTTCTAAAATCGTTATAAGGTTTTAATAGTTACAAATCTGATCCTTTATGTCACTGATTTCCTAACTTTTTTAGACAGTGTTCTACGAAGCATAATACACATATGTATTTATATAGGAGGAAATTCAAATTGAGATATCGTACAATTAATATTATATTTATATATAATATATCTGGAAATGAAATATGAAATAATTGAAATGGGAATACGTGTTATGAATATAAAATTAAAAAATTATATATTTATATTGGGATAATATTGTTTGTATACATATCGGTGAATTATGTTTGAGTTGACTGAGTCTGTCTAGTAAAAGTATAAACACATGTTGTTTTAAACAACAATCAATAATTGTTACAATATTACATTTTCTATGGTAAAACAAACGGAGCTCTTTAGAAACAATTGCAAAGCCCTAAAGGTTCTGTGGAGCATAGCTTATGAACCGCTGCTTTATGATGTAAGTTCTGGGCACCTGTGACAATATATTTAATGATCAACAAAATTTTTTGATGTTGTGTTGATAAGGACAATAATAAAAAATTAAATAATAGAAACGAAAAAAAATATAAGCATATTTCTGTATTCATTATTTGTACAAATGGAAATTGATTTTATTTTTTCTCAGAACAATGTTAGTAATACTTCTACACATGTTTATATGTTTATGGCTGTTTTTGCGCGATATAAAAATTAAAATTGATGACCATGGTAACTAGTTGGCTCGAAATCGCTTTAGGACTTACCTTATAAAAATTATCTGTAAACAACATAACACTAAACCGTACGAATTTGTCATAATACATTTTGAAAATTATACCACAATTACAACAAAAATATCAAAGGAAATTAATCAGATGGGTAATCAATAGCTACAATTGTAACATATTTATTGTTACGAAAATTTGGAAAAATATTTTAACTTGGAAAATATATCACGGATAAAAAAAATATTAAAAGCATAGTATCGTCTGATAGTGAAAGTTGTATTTTATCACAACTACACAACGTGTGGTCCAATCATAAAGGTTAAAACGTTCGAGTGATAACAATTGACATCCGTTCGTGTGCTATTGTCGGCGAGCGCAATTATGCCTTGCTTACCAGCTACTAAATTTAATTTACTTGGTGTGTTCCAAGACGCAGTCGAATTATCATAGAACTGACACTATTTATTGGTATTGAAGAGTCCGTCTAGAAAAATCCGTCGCATAAACGAAAATTGTGTGTTTGGGTCGATCTTCTAGCCGCGAGGGAAAAATAATTATAATCAGTTAAAACATTTTTTCAGTTGACTCGTATTCGTTCGTTCGATTCCATGAAAACCGTGTAAACATCATTCATCGTCGGTAATAATATAATATGTCAAACGTTAAGCGAATACGTACGTTTCAAACACGATAACAATCCGTTCGGGTGTAGACGTTTGATAGTATTATGCCTTTTAGGAACACTTTACAGTTGAACGCACTGAAAGTCGCGTTACATGTAATATACGCTTTAAAAATAACACGAAATTCAAACACACGATGTATTTGTTAATTTGTTTACAATACGTTACTTCGGTAACATGTTTTATAGACCTAGGTATTCAGATATTATAAACTAGCTGAAAGAATGAATTTGAAACAGCTTGTAAACATTCGAAATTTATTTATACTTTCCAGTCACGTTTTAAAATATTTACTGAGTGTATCACTTTTTAAAATATATACACATCAAAGAAACAAATGAGGTTTCAATTTTATATAATCTCCATCTTAACAGCATACTCATGAAACTAATTTTTATCGAGTGACAAAAAAAATATTCCCTCAAAATAAAAATTGTATTTACTTATACTAATATATTCTATGACAGAAGTGTTTCACTTCGCCCCAGTTGTTAAATGGAAAAAATGATAAGTAAAAATGTTAAAACTTAAGTGCTCGAAGTTATTTCGTCAATTAAAATTGACTTATAATTTCTAAAAGATCTTTCTTTTCTTCTCGGAAACCATGTCGCAAAAAATGTTCTCTAGTAAAATTGAATTATCATACATTTAAAGTTAATTTATAACCACATAAAATATACATTTATTTATCTCATATGAATATATAACTAATATGCTAGAATTCACTAAATAAGTAAAATTTGATATCTACTTGAATTTGATATGAACTATCAACCATTCAAACCAACATAAACGTGCACAGACGTTTATGTATAATATAAATATGCATGCAAGTACATAAAATTCTGGGATTTCGTTAAATGTAGGTAGTTGTTATCAATGATTTTAGAATTTCAAATAAGTAGTAATTATGACAGTTAGGGGAGGAAGACGGGAATTAATGTCCGGGCGTAAAATTGTAGAGGATAATTTTTGTAGTTTTTATAATCTGTTATTGAGTAGTTTGATATTTTTAAAAACTTTGTGGCTGATAATGTATTTAAAACTCAATAAGTAGGTATGTTTGTATGCTAATTATAAAAAAAAAAAAATCGTAAAGAAGGATATTTGATTCTTGGTCTATGATTGGGCATAATTTTAAGATTTTTTCCGCGTATAAAAGTTCCTAGTTCCGCCTCTGAAGATAGTAGGTAAGTGAGAAAACACGATGAAATATACGTGTAAGCTTAATGGATCTTACTTCTTTCCGTGAACATTGATACCGTGAATTTAGCAAAATAATGCACGTATGCAGGCCCGTATTTATATAATTTGCCGCCGGGGGCACTAATAAAAATGCTGCCCTAAAAATTTTTTTATACATACCTATACACTGTATAGGTACAGTATAGTACTGTATAGTATACAGGTTATATATAAAGCATATGCAGTATTCTGTTCCCGTTATATTCCATCCTTCCACATAACTCATTGTTATTTACCTAACTATTATAGAATATAGATTATAGTGTTGCTTGCGGGCCGTTCAATCGTAAAGATGATAATGTGATGGGATAATTCCAATAAAAATACTCAAATTAAGTTAGAATGTTTATAAAAATATTTCTAAGTACAAATTATTTAGAGCACCTCCTGGCGTGGAGGTGCTCGCTAAAACACGTCTTAAACACATTTGTATAATAGTCTGTTCGGGACTACCTTATATACTCCATTCTTATGGGATATTTGACCCGGAATTGATATAATATTCTAGACCCCCTTCGAAAAATATCTACTATCCAATTTTATAATATCTTATAATGACATATTGTTTTGGTTATTGCAAACATTGGTTGATGCAAATTTTATTACCTTGTAAAGGCAGGCCTGATATTTCGGTTTTTGCAACCATGCCAGTTATTTGCATGTGACTCTTCTGTAAGATTTGGATATTCACAAGGACATATATTATACATGTCCACCACGTAAATATCTTAGTGTTTTCACATATAGTGTAATTTGTAATTGCGTACGTAATAATACATATTATAATGTAAGCCCCAATGCTATTTATGTGGACCCCCTTATGTATTGGCAGTCGTAAGGACCTACATTTATGTATGGCCGAAACAATAGGTACATTAGAATTAGATTCAGATATTATGTAAAATTATATTTTTTTAAAAACATAAAACAATATTTTTATTAATTTATTTTATTAAATATAAAATATTAATACAATATTGTCTTGTAAAATGTCCATTTTTATTTTTTATATTTTCAAAATTAAATTTTTCTTCGTAATTGTGCTGACACAAAATGGTTTATAATATCTTCATAATTTAATTGTTTTGTAACTGATGATTCTATATTTAATATAGCTAAACTGTTTAATCTTTCTGATGTCATAGTAGATCTTAAGTAAGTCTTTACTTTACGAAATGTCGAAAACGACCGCTCGGTTGAACAATTTGATACTGGCGTACATAAAAACATGCTCAAAGCTATAGAAAGATAAGGGAAAATTGTTAAAACAAAATTATATGTTCTTTTAGAAGCTGAAAAATCTTCATTTCAATTTTGATTAAATCCATGTTTACATATATGGTCTCATTTGTTTATTTATATACCATAATGCCGGATCAGATCTGTAATACATTAGTATAATCATTTTATTAGTTTAATTTATCATTTTTATAGTAAATAATACCTATGCCCTAAATATACCTAATATTAAAATAAAAATAAAAATTGCGAAGCTATTTCAAAGAAATTAATAACATATTACAATTTTATATTAAATATGTAAAAATGGGATTTATACTGTCTAACCTCTAACTTATTTAAAATTTTAATAAAATATAAAATAACAACACATAGGTATTTTAAGAATTATTTTTATTTTGAATTTATTTACCCTGGTTTATCTATGGAATTTATTACAATTGTTTTGTCAATTTCTTAAGTAATACATATTCTCAGTATTATCATCAGTATTATGATAGGTTTAGCTTCTATTTGTGAACTATTGGACATTTTTACATCCACAATACTAATTGGTTGAATATTAGCATTACTAAAACAAATAAAAATAATAATAAAATTTAATAAACTTAAAGTATAGGTAGTATTTTGTAAGTACCATAATATATCACTAGAATTTAATCCAATTCTATTGTCAATTTCATCAGTACACTTATTCTTAATATCATCAAAAGTTATGTCATCTTTAGATTCTATTTGAGAACTTTCAGTCATTTTTTAGTTCCTAATTTTCCTATAAGTATAGATACATTAATTGTTAATTATAAAAATAAAAATATAATATAATTTAGCATCTCACTTTTAAACATTAAGTCAACTTTATTTGTGTTTTTGATCATTTTATTTAAATTAGCATCTTTTATTTTAGCAAGCTTTTTATATTTGTTACCATTTAGTTTTTTTTTTCGGTCCCATTATAACCAAATAACAAATTACCTATAACTTATAAGCAAAAAAAAAAAAAGTAAGTAATGAAATATAATTAAAAAGTAAAATATATAAAATATAAGTACGAGTAATATGAATTTTCATTTTGTATTGGTTTCTATAAGGTATAAAATTTAAATAATATATTGAATAGTGTTTGAAGTATGAAATATTTCATGTGAAATATTTCATTTTGAAATATTTCACAAAAACGTGAAACATTGTATTTTTTTTGAAAACAAATTATAATGATTGTTTTTTATCAATTATTAATAGTACAATCCATGAGTTCTTGGTATAATCATTGATATTAACAATATTAATGCAATGAGTGCCGTGGCTGACATTTTATACTATTTATACTATATTAGGGTCTTGTTTTCGGCTGTTTATAGCAAAAATTGGTTTTTCCCCAGGAATGGCTTATCGTCGACGACGATGCAAGGATGGTTCTATTATTGTGAATTGTGACTAAATATATTATATAAGTATAATATTTATTACACAGTTGACAGTCAATAATTTATTATCGCAATCATAATCTTAACGTTATAAACTTATAACTTATATATAGTTTCTAACTAGAAAAAATACGCATGGTTTATTATCATAAAATTATTATTATTATGGTGAATAGACGTCTGACGACAATAGTGTACCTATAGACATTTAATATTTATCATATAATCTTTTAATTTTTATAATAATTATTAGTGTACGAACATTACTCGACATAGTACGTTTTTTTATCAATTTAAAAATGTTGAATACTATTTTGAATGTATAATACCAAAAAAACCATCACTAATGAGTAGGTAATGGGTAATTAGTGATTGGTTTCAGTAGCATAAAATTATAAAAGTAAATTATGACAATTACATACATAAAAATAAAACTTATTTAAAAAAAAAAACAAAATTTATTAAAATACTGAAATATTTCAGACATTTGAAATATTTCATGAAATATTTCATTTTTTTAAATTTCATGACATTTTCAAACACTAATATTGAATATCTAGAACTATTTATTATAATTAAAATTTAAAATTTAAACATTTAATTTAATTTAATTTAAACATTTAAAATACCTAGGTACTCATATTTATAATTATATATTATTTTGTATATTAACAGAAATTTGAGTTACCTATACATTAATATTTATTATAAAAGTGCACAACTGTACTTTGCCTGACAGCTTGTCTTCAACATTGTGATGTAGGCTAGCCCTTATGTAACTTAGAATTGTTAAATGAATTATAAAAATATGGTACTTACTTATATTAGGTACAAAAAATATTATTTCACCAGTCACAGTTGTCACGAATAAAATTATAATTACAATTAAAATTAACAGTATTAGGTACCTACACTAAAGAGAAAGACCAAGACGTATTGTATTTTCACTATTCATAATATTTTATTTTATAATATACACAAATACAAAACACATAAAAATATTTCATAATTGCTAAAACAAGTCCCTACTCCCTACTCTAATATGTATAGTTACTTCCTATATCCTATATCTTATATACCTTCCTACATCTTACTCCTACCTACATCTAGGAAAGGAAATAATTATTAAGATATTGTTGTAATATTATCTGCTTTTGTTGACTTGTTACGGCGTGTCCTACGTGGCACGTTAAATACGTCCGATGCGTCCAATGCGATAATCCGTCGAGAAATAAAAACAAATATATATAAATTAATAAATATTTTATAAATTATAATATTATATTTTATAATTTATAAATAATACAACTGTCAAAAGTGTGCGGAAAATGCGATAATCCATTAACGGACGGATCGGACGCAAATTTGAAAAACAAAATTATTTGTTTTTGCCGTATGCGATAATGCGTTTAATATTAAATCAACATTTATCGGTGCTAAAATATAATATTGTATATTATTATAAATTGAGTATCTACTAGTGATGAACACAACTGACTGACGAGTGACGACTACGCACTACAAATAATCGACTATTTATAACTATTATTAACACTATTTGTACACTATTTATAATACAATAATATTTTATTATTGGATGGTTCGGTGTACGGACGTTTTTTCCGACCCATAACACACACTAACTGTCGTTAACATATGACAGTAAAACTAACTATTAAATCGCCTGTGATGGACTGACGAAAAATTGTTATTAAATCGTATACATCGCAATATCGTATTGACGGACGCACGTAGGACACGCTGTATCGGATTATCGCATTAAGGAATAAACGGATAAACGCATCGGACGCATCGCATTGACGGAAGACACGGTGTTATTGTTTGTACCGTTTGGAAACTAGTGCGCTAATAATAAATTGGTATTATCCACTATACAGTACTCCACGGAATATGTAGGTAATTGTTAGATATAAATAATAAATAATAATAATTTCGTGTTAGTCGTAATCCTAAAATAAAAATCACTAATCAGTATTCACATACGAAATTACAAATGTTTTGCAATGCATATTGTTTTGTTGTATTTTTATTTTAATTACTGAAAATTTTATATGCCATGTACTATGTACAACATACAAGCTAAAAATTATTTTGTCTAATATAGTAATAAAATATTATTGAAAATATATTAATACATATTCAATTTTCTATATACGTTTAACAAATTTGACAAATTATTTTTGCCGCTCTCAAAGAAGTGTCGCCGGGGGCAATTGTCCCTCCGAGCCCTCCCCTAAATACGGGCCTGCACGTATGCAGGCCCGGACCGGGAGAGTACTGGGATATAACAGGCGCGGATCCAGCCTACCTTAACGGGGGGCGGGGCGGATTATAAATAAGTATACATATTTAGATACCTACTGCTAAATACGAGTATATTATATTATATTATTATTAAATATATATATATATATATATATAAATAGTTATAAATGCAATAGTACATAATGCAATTCTTGATTATTTATAAATTTATAATGAATATTTTTTTTGGATGGTAAAGACGACTCACTTAAATCCATTGCAATTCGATTTTTATTTTCCTCAGTTGTTTGATTATCATTTTCCACAGTACTTGCACAAGTTGCACTTTTTTTTTTTTT